TACCGGTAATTAAGCTGCGTCCGACTACTACCTCGGAGAAATTACGTGGGAAGGCAGTACTCGGACAGTAGACAAATAAAATTTGGAAATACATATTAAAATAATCTTAAATAAAAATAATTGAAAAAGCTATTAAGAAAATGCAAAATGAAAAATTTAGGTGTTTTTCGATCGTGAGTGATATATTTTAAGAGGGTTCTGATTGGGGATGGGGTGGGGTGGTGCATGTGACTTTGTCTTTGGGGGTGTTATTCAGGGGGTTAGTGCAGTATGTCGGTTGCATGTTTTTAGTGTAAATATTCAATAACTGTCAATCTCATCCAAAAAGACATTAGCTCAGTGTCATTTATCAATCATATTTTACTTTTGCGATGAAACTGAACGTTTTTTACGTTTACAGTCAGCAGTGACAGCCATCAGGACCCTCATTCATTCTAATCTGATAATATAAAATATTAAGTATCAGTAACATTCCCGTTATTCTTCAGGATATGGATATGATAGTTCCATTGATTAGTTCTAATTATATACAGTAATATTGTAGGACTGTCTGTGTAGATTTGCTAAAATGAGCGTTCGAGGAGGAAAGCCTGCCTATTCATATGAAAACTTAAAGCGGGCTATGGATGCTGTTAAATCCAAGCAGATGTCTGCACTCAAAGCTGCTGTCTTGTTCGGTATACCCCAAAGTACTCTTCATGACAAACTCTCCAATAAAGTACCTCTTGTTTACCGCAAAGGTCCTTCACCAATTTTATCACAGGACGAGGAAAAACATCTTTCAGATTGGGCTATACACATGTCGAGTATAGGGTACGGCTCGACAAGGGACGAACGGTTAGACACGGTCCAGAAAATAATCAAATTAGATTGTAGGGAAAATCCTTTTACTGATGACAGACCTGATAGGGATTGGTTTAGCATTTTCTTATAAATAAACCCTACAATATCAATAAGAACAACCACAAAACTTTCAAAAGAACATGCTGTGGTATCACAACAAACATTGCTGATAAGTCACAACCTACATCGCTGACAACATGATTCAGACATCTAACATGACCCATCAAGGCTGTATAATGCTGATGAGTCGGGTTTCCCCATGAGTCCAAAGAGTGGTAGGGTTATGGCCAAATGAGGATCCCAGACAGTTTATAATTTCTCGGCCTCAGACAAGAGCTAGATAACAGTTCTTGCTTGTGCAAGTGCTTCAGGTGACTACACTCCCCCCATGATCATCTTTCCCAGTAGCAGGTTCAAATACAACCCCCTAGATGGTTTTGAGAAGGCGGTTCTAGGGCGAACCAAGAATGGCTGGATAGACGCAGAACTATTTGTTTCCTGGCCTCAAACTTGTTTCATTCCTCATGTCAATAAACAGGCAATCAAGAAACCAATAATTCTGTTTCTAGACGATCATTCAACGCACCTGACTCTAGAAGCGTGCACTGTTTGTGTGGAGAACAACATCGTACTGTACTGTCTCCCATCACAAGCATCACATGTTATTCAACCATTGGACCTGAGCTTGTTTAGTCCTCTCAAACATGTATGGAGCCAATCTGTACGACATTTTCGGATTTCAAATATTGGAGAATGTGTTAGGAAATGTACCTTTGTCAGAATATTCAAAACTGCTTGGGTAATGGCAGCTACAACAGAAAATGCAAAGATGTGTTTCCTGAATCGGGCCTGTTTCCGCTCAATCCTGGTAAAGTTACCGATAATCAGAAATTAAAACTCAGCACCATCTTTGATACATGCAAACCACCAGTCCTTCAGTCAACCCCTGTAACCCCATTCACATTTGCACCTCCAGCAGACACTCGGTTAAGTCAGGAAACCCCATCCCAACCTTCGGCTACACTAACATCACCAGAATGTGCACCCTCTCCAGTCGTACAAACAACTCTGCCATCACCCCATACAGACCCTCATGCACCAGTACAATCACAAACTGCACACATCACAGCACTCCAAACAGACACTTCACCACTCGCCTTACATTCTACATCAACTTTAGCAACAGCCCATACATCCTCCAGTAACGCATTTGACAAATATTTGGTTCTCCCTAAAGAACATAGCCGTGCCCAAAAATGTAAACCTACAGTGTTGCCCAAATCTGCCTCAGGAGAAGACATACAGGGACTTCTCCTTGAAAAGAAGAGAAAGGCAGAGGAAGAGAAACAGATGAGAGCGGAAACAAAGCTTAAACGAGAAGAAGAGAAAGCAGCCCGGAAAGCCCTAAGAGAAAAAGAACGGGAAGAGAAGCGTGAGCAAAAGAGAAAGCAAGAAGACGAGAAGAAGGCATCCAAACTGTTAAAACAAATTGAAAAGAAAAGAAAAGCAACACTAGATAGTGACGAAGACCTCTCTGAATCCGAGATTCCCTACATGGATGACGACGACACCAATTTTCCAGATAATACCCTCCGGGATTTTTGTCACCTTTATTTGGGTCAGGATTTGGCGGATGATAATGACTGGTTGGGATGTCTAAATTGTAGTAAATGGTTCCACAAGAATTGCCCGGGATACCAGACATTAACACATCATATGCAATGTGAATTTTATTGTTGGCATAGTTTGCTTTCTTAAAACTAAAAGAAGTGAACTCAGTGTTCATTTCACATTAAAATGTACAAAACAAACATATTTTTCATATTTTAACAGAAAAATGGAATATCCCTTTGACGCCCTTTTCCACGAGATTCATGCATACTTTTGACTACCTGGGTTGGGTAAAGACACCAATGCAAGCAGCTATCACCATAGCACGAAACCCATCACAATATTTTCGTCAATAACTTGGTAATATTAAACCTGAAACTATATTCATTTGATGTACTGGTTTATTTCTATGATTATATTTTTTGGGGGAAATATATGACAACTATCAAGTACCAGGCTAATGATAGACTTTGCACCTAATTAACAATGGAAGAGTTCCTTTACAGTTATTAGGAGTACTCACTCCTTTGATGACGACCTAGCCCTGCTTTCCCACAGCCACCAACAGATGCAGGACAAGACAACAGAGCTGGAAACCACCTTTTCACAGGTTGGTCTCAAGATCAATGAGGGCAAGACCAAGATCCTCAAGATCCACACAAAAAGCGAGGACCCAGTCACACTGCATGGAAGCGAGCTGGAAGAAGTGGAGGCCTTTACATATCGGGGCAGCATCATTGACAAGCTGGGAGTAACAGACGCAGACGTCAGAGCAAGAATTGGCAAGGCAAGGACAGCATACTTGCAGCTGAAGAACATATGGAGCTCCAAGGTGGTATTGACTCGCACGAAGATCAGGCTGTTCAACTCCAACGCCAAGTCAGTGCTGCTGTATGGAGCCGAGACATGGAGGACAACAAAGACCACCACCAGGAAAGTGCTGACTTTCATCAACAGCTGCCTGAGAAGAATCCATCAGCAACTGTGGCAGCGTACCAACCAACTGCCAACCGAAGATGAGATTGGGAACACCCTGAGGAAGCCAGTCAGTAACATCACCAGACAGGCGCTGTCATGGAACCCCGAGAGAAAACGAAAAAGAGGACGGCCAAGAAACACCTGGCGACGGGACCTCGAGGCAGACAGCAAGAAGATGGAACACACCTGGAAACAACTAGAGAGAGCAGCCCAGGACCGAGGACTCTGGCGGACTGTTGTCGGTGGCCTATGCTTCGGGAGGAGTGATGGGCATAACTGACTAAATCCTTTGATGAAGGAAAGTTGCATTTTAAATGTGACACTGTCCTTTACTGGTAGAATTACTCACAGTGGGCTTGTTAGGGGCGGGGGCCCAAAACTAGACTGTTTTTATTTATAGCGTATCAAGCCACAATGTCGTACTTTCTTCAAAACAATAGAAAGACTGAATGAAACAGGATTCAATGGTGACAGCGTTTGGGTTTAGTGACTGAGAAAAAAACTAATGTCAGTATAAGAAAACACATGTATCTGTGTATAGTAATACCAAAATGAGAGAGACAAGCCAATGAGTTGTATTTATGTTGCTATTGTTTTGATGTTCTCATTGACACAATGAAAAAAAACACAATTGTAATTATGTTATATTTGGTCAAGACATTTTTTTAAAATTCTTAAAGTGTCCGGGTACTGCAGCAAGGGTGTCTGACTTCAACCGTAGGCATCCGATTACTACCGAAGTCCTTTGACCCAACCTAGGTCGTATGAATATTGATTATGTATAATCCAAAACAGGAAAGGATGTAAACCACATAATCCACACCTATCACACACAAAATAGTGATACCGTGATAATATAGAGTTGCACGCCCTTGAGTCGCAAGTGACAGGTACTTTCTTTACCTAACTCAGTAAAGAAAATCAACATCGATCAATTCTAATTGATGTTGAATAAAGAACAAGAAATATTTGTGTATGACACAGTTAAAGTGTCAGTAAGCATTCGCCATTTCGATCCATTATAAATTAACTACCGCAATAATATACGCCTAGCATTCCATGCTAATGACAACTAAATGTGTATTTTCGTGTTGTTTGATTTTTGTTTACATGTGATTTAGTCACGTGACACCACCCGCGTGTCTCTTCCAAAGTTGTATTTGAACGAGGTGATTATATTCGTTTTTTTCAAATATTTCGTCACAAGAGTAAGTTTTGTTCATCATTTTTGTATAAATAGATCTACTTCTCTCTTCAAATGAAAACGAGTAAAGTCAAACGAGATGCGACCTTGTGCTGTCTATATAACGTGGAGTCGGCGATCGCTTGTCGCTAGACAGTATCAAAATAATCATTTAATTCTTTAGCAACGTATACCTGTGCTGCTCCCTATTTATAAACGAATTTGATGATGACGCTTCACAGAATAGGCAATATCAAAATTATTTGAGCAGCACACCATACCTAGTAAGAATCTTGCCTTTTTTCGGAGAATGGCTCAAATGTGTGTATAGGCAGGAATTATGTATGGTGCCATGGCCCCCAGAAGGTTATCAGAGTGTCCATACCTATCTTAATGCCCGTATCTGAGAGACAACGATCCCATTTATGTCCGAGTTCGTCCTCTGACCTTGATGTCGAAGCCATGTTGTTAGTGTACCGTGGTTCGAAAGGATACTAGTCAAAGCCGACAAATGTCAAAACGGTCATAGAATCTTGTTCAAAACGTCCCAGTATTCGCATCAAAACGGACTACAGTAGGCAGAGTGAAAACGGACTGTGTGTATCAGTACGAATGTGTGTATAGTGGCAGTATGCTCGACACGTAGAAAAGAACAGTTTACAACCCTGCTATGAAACTTTTCATCAGATGTGTCATTGGTCCGTTTTGATAAAATTGCCTGATCCTTTTTGGCGCAGATAGCCTAAAAGTCGGGCTGAGCAGGGTTGACGAGTAGTGTGGATTTGAAATTATGTGCAGGAAACGGAAAGAGAGTACTATATAGAGTATGATATGGCTGAGCAACCTGAATGTATGACTACTATCATACCTATCTGAAGACCACTAAATCACACAATGTTTATTTTAAGCATGCAAATATGTTGGTAAAAGTGAAACATAAAGAAGAAAACAGCGTTATCACTATCCCCTGCCACGGGGCACATTAGATTGTGAGGGGTAGTACATAGTCTAGATTAGACTAGGTCTAACCTTAAAGCAGGTGCAGCAAAACCCCAAACAATGGTCTGAACTAAAACATATTATAAAGAATAGGTATTTATGTCAATCAGCACTATAAACAGAACGACGCGCAGTGCTAAATCTCCGCGACACACAGTCCAAAATAAAATATACAATACCTGCAGGAAACAACTTCTGTTGCAGACTAAACGTCAATAGCTATACAGTGGGGAAAATTATATATTTCTGACCTGTCTGATCAGATTCCTTCCTATTGTCTGTCTGATACTAAAATAGTTGTACGTGTATGCGACATTCGCTTGAGGTTCAAATGTGGCAGAAAAAGTTCGAGAAGCATGGTAACCACTTTACTAATCTCACGCTATTTCGCAATCCATAGCACTATGTTACAGCTTAGATGATAATTTTGTCAGGTGGTCATTATTTTTATTTTGCACTACCAGCGAGCGTTTGACGTCTTAAGTCACAGTTATAAAGAAAAAGAAATTACGGGACCTTATATGGTCCCGTGGCACTAAGAGGGTGTAAAAAGTGAGGGACCATATATGGTCCCGTGGCACCAAGAGGGTGTGAAAGTGAGGGACCATATATGGCCCCCTGGAACAAGAGGGTAAAGGTACATGGCAGAACTGACGTCATGGAAGAATCTATCAAATCTTCATAAGCTCACATATCTTACCATTATTGGCGGCATGATCCTAACTTCACAGTTACAGAACTTGAAATAAGTTTCGTTCAGTTGTCGGTAGAGGAACTTATTGGTTTATCAAACATTTTACCCAATATTTCTCGTCTCAATGTCACGGAAGTTGGATGTCCATTCACAGGGTCACATAAAATTTTGCTGTCTTTGTTGAGGTCATTCAGGAAGATAAGACTGGTGTTAGTTGATGTACATCTGGATGATGTTGAAGTTGCAAATATGTTGAATAGCTTTTGTCTTAGAATATATTGGGCATGGCACTGGCAGATCCTGTTTCTAGAGCATTGTTTCACTTTGACAGACACCAATGTTCTTCATCTCTCATTCGCTTTATAGATATCTACTTTCAAGAAGCATGCCTGAAAACCTCATATTGACTTTAATGAATTTAGAGCAGTCAGACGCACTTAGTGTAGGGGACGCATTTTTAAGGACAGATCTGACCCATTCGACTTGTATGACAACAATTAAGGAGTTTCATATTCGGTTCGCTCAATGCACGGTTTATGATAGATTGTCTGAGACGTTGAAACCAACCACACATCGCAATACTTCTTTACCCGCTTCTTCGCAATGTCTTCTTGATGCAGGCTACATTTTCAGATAGCTGAATGTCCACCAGACCACAGTTTGTATTAGTATTCAGAGGGGTAGTATCTTGATACAATATTCTGCGTCATCATAGCATGTGCTGTTTTGCAGAATATTGCAATGTTCAGAAATGACCCTGACTATGAACATGACGATGATGACGAAAACGACCAAGACGACCACAACGACAACAATGTCTCGCCATTGAATAATCAACGAAACGTTGACGCAGCCGCACTCCGACAAGGGGCGAGGGAGCGAGAGACAGTGATCGCACAGTTTTTCAATTAGACTGCTTTGACTTCATGGCATCAAGTCCTGTGTAATGGAGAAATTTAATAAAATCAGAATTCCTCCGACATTTTTTTTTAAATTGTTCGAAATTATGTATAATCTGTGAAGTAAAATGAATTACTACTTTGTTGATGTTTTGCTTTTGAGGCAGTGATGACATATATGATTTCATATTGCACTCCTTCCAGTTCTTTCACTTTTGATTCAACTTCTCCGTTTCTGTATAACGCATGAACAATTAGTTTCTTTGCATATGTATTTTACACTGCATTGAATAAATCCTGCTTGAACATGTGAGTAGTTAAGGACAGAACCCTGGTAGACAAGCCAGCAGGAGTTATCTCCCCCACCGGAAGTGCCGCTATCTTGGATGCGCGAAGAGGGGCATGCTGGGTAATGCGTGCGAATCCAAGATGATGTCACGTCCGTTTCCAGGAGGCGTGCGCCTCCAAGATGGCGGTACGTCCGGTTCCGGGAGGCGTGCGCCTCCATGAGGGCGAGGAGGAGAAGCGCTCGTAAAATTCTCCACCGAAGCAAGTAAGGCTATCATGGGCATCAGGGTTGGTAAGCAGAGTGAGGTGGAGGAGGGTTCTTTTTTTCTTTTCTTTTTTGGCAAAGCAATGATGAAAGTGTTCTTTCGGGAGAGTTGGGTGGCCCTGAAATAGGGCGTTTGAACAAGAAAAAAATCCACCAACACTGGAACGGGAACTGGAACGGAAACTTCATCCTAGGAAGACGAGGGAAGATTCCTCATTCGCGTTGCTCTTATTCGCATTCACCTCGCACAGATACTGCCAGAAAGTAGTAGCTGCCACGTTCTTCTTCTTGTGTATCACCAGCCCGGTCAGCTTGAGGTAGGCGCAGACAGAGGACCACTTGAGGTGTTCCAGCCAAGGATCGTCGTGGGGCGCCCATCTTGTCAGCCGCACGCTGCCATGAAAGCAGTAAACACCATCTGCACTTTCATGTACACGAAGCCCGAATGAGCCTTTCCTTCAGCGGTCTGGTTCATCTGCATCGGCCACCCCTCAAACGAGGCTAGTCTTCTTTCAAAGTGTAGATGGGGCGACGGTGGCTTACTGGGCGGCGGCGGTAGCCTACCATCACAAGAATCTGTACACTCAGATCTGGACCCACAAGCATCCGTACTATCACTCCTGGGTCCACAAGAATCCACACCTTCAGAAGATTCCTGGTCCCCTCACAAGTATCTGTACAGCTCTTCGTCTCTGCCATTCTTGGTGTGATGATGACGATTTTTTCACAAGTGAATCTGAACCCTTACTTACTTACTTATATTGGAGATTTAACGTGCGCTTTCCGAATGCAAGCGTATGTCGCACACGGTATATCTGAACCCACACGAGTTCTGTTTTTATAGGAGGGGGAGCAGATCGAAATGTTCCGCTGTTTTGATTGGTCTAACACACAGCGCGCCCTTGTGTTTGTTTTCCATAGGAGCATGCATTTTCCATGGGAGTGAAAGCACGCAATCAACTGTTCGACCAATCAGAGACCCGCACAGGGCGTGTGTGGCTCTGATTGGTAAAAAACCCAAACTTCTCATTGGTGCCTTTTCGAGTCTTTTTTTTTCTCTTTTCTTTTTTTTTTAGGGGGGGGGGGGGGGGGGGGGGTAGACATGTCCACCACCGCCACCACGATGATGTTGCGGAACGGACGTCTGAATTTTAAAGGTGGACCTACATGGACAGACATGGACGTGATGTAGGAATGCCTACGTGGCGTACTTCATGTCTCCATGCAAACGTGGTGTCACTCGTGACGACAAACATACGTTAATATATTTATAGATAGATAGACATACGTGGTGTCACTCGCTCATCAATGCCTCGATGACTACATACGTTTATAGATAGATAGATAGATAGATAGATAGACGTGGTGTTGTTACTCGTGTCCCATGCAAACGTGTGTCACTCGTGTCTACAAACATACGTTTATAGATAGATAGATAGATAGATAGATAGATAGATAGACGTGGTGTTTTACTCGTGTCTCCATGCAAACGTGAGGCCACTCGTGTATACATACAAACATATGTGTGGTGTCACTCGTAGGCGTGTGCCTCCAAGGTAACAGTGTGTGTGTGTGGGGGGGGGGGGGGGGGGGGGGGGTTCTTTTGGAGGGTTGGGTTGGGTTGCTTGTGTTGGCAAAGCAATGATCAAAGCGTTTCTTTAGGGAGAGTTGGGTGGCCCCGAAAAGGGTCGTTTGGTCGTGAGAGACTACCTCCTCACCCACCTATGTGCTGTGCTGCACAGGCACGGATGGGTCGGCATCTTTCTTGACAGGACACTTCCTGGCGTGGGTTAAACGCCTCACGTAAGTGTCCTTCAGTAGGGTATGACAATACACACACTGAAACGTCCCACCACATGCCACAGTGCCACGAGCGTAGACTGGCAGGCAGCCTTTCCACATGCTACATTGCCATGGTGGCGATGGCAATGGTGCTGTCTTCGTAGAAATGGTGTCCCCATTCTCCATGTTGTTTCCCATGTTGTCATAGAATGCAGTGTGACCATCATCATCATCATTCTGGGAGATTTAACGTGCGCTTTCAGACTAATGTGTATCTCGCACACGGGGAAGCACTTATACTATTGGGGGAAAAAAGTGTAATGAATAAATAAAGAAGTGCATTTGGATATGTTCAGCGCCAAATAATAATATCCCTAATAAACTGCATTCTTGTGCATAATAATGAAAATTAAGGAACCGAAAAAATAATATATGTATATTAGTTCCCATATATGACCATTTTAGCCACTTGAATTACGAGAAAAACGAAATAAAAAATAAATAAAAAATAAAAGTGCTTTCGTAAACTAGCGCTGGCTATAAAATGCGCCGCCGCAGGATATATTTTATAAACAATTATTCAAAACTCTCAACATCGCTGGGCGTATTCAAA